TGACGGTGGTGGGCTTCCCGCTGGGGGATCTTGTACGCCGGCATTCTGCTCGTGCGGCCCCAAGAAACGTGGAGGTTTCTGGTTAAGTAGCAGTGGGGTTTGGGGTTGTGCTGCTGATGGAAGGTTTGCATCGCTGTCTGGTGCAGGTGGTTAGCAGCAACGTGTGTGCCCCGGGATGCTCCTGCACCGGGCAAAGCTGTTGCAGGAGAATTACCCACTTGTGGTTCTGAGGTTGCCTCCTCTTCCTTTGCCTCTGTTGCCTCCTGAAGTTTTGGAAGCCGTTGGGTATGCGTCTGATTACCTCCCTCCTGGTGCTGTCAACACAGCGTAATCCGAATGGGTGCTGCGGTAATTATCACAGCACTGTGTTCGCTGGGGACTGATGGATCGGCCAAACACAACCGACACCTGGCCATCCAGCTCCGGGACTGCAGTTCCACTCATGGTGGAACTTACCCCAAAATGCAGCGTGCTTCTTTTGAGCAGGTAGAAATCACGTGCACGTAGTGATTTGATTCACGAGGGAAATGATTTCAGCTAGTAGAAACACACAAAGCATCCTTGTTACTCCACTGTATAACGAAGAATACATCTTAAAAAGCTTTTTTTACTACAGAGAAAGCCTTAAACTTTCAGTGCTTATGAAGCTGTTATCTCTGCAGCAGGCACTGTCCACTTTACTTGCGGGTAAGACTGAGGTAGAACTGATAATGTACAATTCAGTCCTGATTTCCTTATCACCTCGTGACCTGTAGGTCTATAGATCTGTCTTGTGTTTGTCTTCAGGCTGGTCTTGTGTATATGCCTGAAACATGTTGTCCTTTTGGCCTGCTTGGGGCAGAAAGCTGGAAAGCTGAGGTGGGGGAAGGAGAATTGTTCTTTTGGGATCTGCAAGGCAAGAAAAAAGTGTTACAGGACTTGTCTTCTAAGGGAGCAAAACAATTTGTTTGAAATGAAGGTTCATTGTGTACATGTGTTAATTCCCTTTGTTTTTTTGTGGGATGTAAAGGTCACTTTGTCTCTATCTAAACTACGAGAAAATCAATAGTCTAATCAATTTCTAAAGTAGCTTTAGTCAAAATGACTACCGTGGTGTGGCCTGGCCTTTGATGTGTGAAGGTGTCCCAAAAAGCTGCTAGAAAAGTCAATGCGGAGCATCGCTGCAAATAACCTGACCGAATTTGCAGGGGAATTTTCTGCCCCATTCACTGTGTCCACAGGGCTTTTTCCCTGCCCAGTGCCCAGCACGGCTTCCTCCTGGCGTTCCCACTGAAAGAATAGATCACTGGGAGCAACAAAAGCGGTCGCACGGTTCGCTTGAGCAGTCATGCATAAACGCAGGCGGATTTTCTGCCGTGAACACCAATGGGTAGCCTTCCCTGCCACCAGCTTTCCATAGGCTGCGTGTCGCTGCGACGAGGAGCGATGCTGAGGATCCGTGCGGGAGGACAGCGTCCCCAGCAGGCACCAGCTGCTGGCGTTCCCCGTGGCTGGGTTGGGGCGTTCACAGCAGTAAGTCTGTTTCTTGCTTTGAAAATACCGAGTTCAGGGCTGATAAAAAGCCACGTGTCTCACCGTTGCCTCAGAGATGTTTTATTGTGAGAGGTGGAAGGGGCACAGCCCTTTGTGCTGCCCCGCCGGCCAGCACCCAAGGCTGAGCCGTGGTCCTGCCAGCACCCAGGGTGTAAGCGCCCTGCCTCGTGCTCCGTTCCAGCTCGGAGGCACGTTGGGCATGCAGCACAACACGAGGGCGGTCGCTAAGTGGGAATGCTGCTCGGAGGTGGAAATTCAATGGGCATCTGTTCGTTTCATAAATGGGGATGGGAAAAACAGAAGGGTTTGCATGTCTGTTTTCTCCTGGAACAGCAGCAGCAAGGGTGCTAAGTCCTCGTGGCGTGGAGGTCGGGGAGGGCGTTGGCTGACATCCACAAAGGCTTAATGCTTTTTGTGCCGTGATCTCGAATAGCTCGTGTCTCTGGGGAGATTTATGAGGGGTAGTTACCGCTTCTGAGAGATACAGAGGGTTGTGCTAATTATCAGAGAGAGCGGCTGGGAAGAGCCAGGTGAGAACAACGGCAGCAGGTGACTGCATTCGTGTAATGTGCTTCTGAAGGTGTTTGACTTGGAGCCGTACAATGGTTTAAATAATTGATCTGTGCCAACATCAACAGCGTGCCTCATGATTATTTAAAGGGGGAAAAAAAAAAGGCTGCCTCTGAAATCATACTGGGGATGTGTCAAAAAGGGAAATATTCCTGGGGGTGTCCTCAGCGAGCAATAGCCCTGCACTCTGTGCTGTTCAGGACTTTGTCAGTTTTCTGGAAATAAATCTAAAGCCGCTGCTAGTGTTGGTTCAGTAGAGAAGCAGACAATGCTGATGGTGAATTCAGAACTGTGGCTGGAAACGACAGGTCTGTGGGTATTTTCTCACTCAAAGATCCTGAGTAGTACATAAGTGTTAGGCGGAATGGGGACCGGGTGGTGAAATTCTCCTTAGAGCTTTTGGAGAAATGCTTACATGGTGTCTAAGAAAGACATGTGCTCCTTACGCTCAGCTAATTGACTGTTAGCTCACTGATACAATCTTTGCAGACTGTGATTTCTATAGCTCCTCCGTTATGCTGCAGAACGGGTTTAGTGAAATAACATCCATTTGATACAGGCAAGCAGAGGCTTCGGCGTGCCGGCGATGCTGCGCGCTCCCCGGCTGTGTTTCACCAAAGCAGTGGCTCTGGAGGAGACGGCAGGGGGTGGAGGTGACAATCACACTGGTGTTCTGAAGAGAGGGAAAAAAAAAAGTCCCAAGTTATTCAAGAGCCAAAGAAAGGTGCTTTATAGGGAGGGACCTGGTGGGGCTCATCTGGTGGTTGCCAAAACCTCCTGAGAGGTGACTTGCTTAAAGCGCGTGCGTAACTGACTCCGAGGAACTTTAATCCAGCAGAGAAGAAATTAATGGCTCGTGGCAGAAGGCAAACAAATGAGAAATTAGGCTGGCCTCATTGCCAGAAAGAATGATGGAGCTGTTGGAGCACGCTGCTAGGAAGGCGGTGACCTTATGGGTGTTGTGGGGGCGCAGGTGGTACAGCAGAACGGTGTGCGCCTCGTGCAGAGTGGTCTTAACCTTGAATGACACAGCCCAGACCGGTCCTGTAGCAGTGATTTCTGTTCTGTGCTTCAGAATAACCTCAAGGCTAACACAGCGGTGTTCCTCATCCCTGTTTCTTAACTCCCAAACCTTGTGTCCCTGTGCTTTATGCAGTGGGACTGGTACATCCTGCACGTGAAGAGCCTAACTCGAGGTTTGCACTTCAGCTTCCTGAGGATAAAATCCTCTTGATGCTTCTCACGGTATTTCTGTTAGGCTGATCTCCCTACCTAACCTATCTTGCGGTGCTTGCTTTACTGACTGCAAATTTTCTACAAAAGTACAGTTTTTATTAAGCATTTGGTATGCAAACCACCATCTGCATCGAGGAGCACTGTTAAATTCCAGCTGCACGTAAGCCATTTGAGGTACTTTCTTTCATTAATCTCCTCTGTTGAATGTCAAAAATCTCATATAAGTAAATCTGATAAACGTCGTAGTTTAGTCTACGATTCTTTCATAATAACTTGTGATTGTTTACAGGCTGAAAACTAGTTTATAGTTTGTCAAAGGCAGTTAAGTCATTGAGTTCATGTTGTCTGATCCTTTGGGAAACGCAAGCCAGTGGATTTCCCTGAATTTAAGCTGACCATCGAAACTGAGAGTGGATGTTAATAAAGAGCAGAGGTGTGTGTGTGGTGGGGAACTTGCTGTACCAAGTGCATTTTAAGACACCTCTGAGAAAAGAGGTTTAAAAACCAGACCTTGGTCTGTCCATTCCAGGAACCACAATTAGCCAATTATTAACTTTGTTCCGAATGGGTTAACTAATGTGGCACTTGCTCTGTTTGGCCTCTGACTGCCTGTATAATAGCCAAGATCAGCAATCTCCGTCCTGCGCCGGACTGCAGGCTGCTAATTAACACGTTGGTTTCATATTGCTGCTGCCCATGTTTGCACTGAAGAACTCTGGATTTTTGGGGCTATACATGTGGGTGGGAATATCCAGATCATACTGGGACTCTGGTCACTCCTGTGCAATGCTTTGCTCTCTGTTTTTTCCCCCAGACATCTGATCAGGCTTGCAGCAGTGCCTCTTTGCAGGATCTTTAACCAAAAGGTCAAAATAAGCTTGGGGCGCCGTGTCCCACCCCACCTCTGCCTGCTGTGTGTCTCAGCGCACATACACATCCCTCCCTCAATTAACCACACGTAGGAGAAGCTGGTTTCCCTTAAAGGAAGCTGCTGCCTGTAGGCTGGGAGCTGGTGGTTCCCCATGGGGTGGAAATGCACCTTCACCTGGGCTCAGAGGGGAGGCTGGCTGGATGATGCCGTGGCAGCCGAAGACCTGGGTGTGCTGTGGAGCTCAGGCCTGACCCACGGGGGATTTTTGGCACTCATCCTGTGCTCCCACCGCCCCTCGGTGTGCTGGGGCTGGCCTGGAAACCCCCCGCGGGGAGGCCATGGCTGGGAGTGGGAGGCGATGAAATGCGGATATTTACCCCAGCTGTCAGCGTGTGTTTGGAGAAGATGCCTTTGTTTTAGTAAACGGGGCTTGTTCTAAAGGTATTGGTGGGTTTGTGCCTGCTTTTCTTTTAGTTTCGCTGTCTCAGCCCTGCCTTGGCTACTCCCTTCCCGTACTCGCCAAAAGCAACTGAAAAAGAGGTATTGGAGCAGCCCATCTCGTTGTTCGCGTGCAATCGAGCAACCTTTGGTGCTGGAAGTTGGACTCTGTCTGCTGCTCTGTCTGGTAACAGTAGCCCCTGTTGTTTCCTCGCGCTGCTTTTGAAAAATACTGTTTTGGTTTCTCTGGGAGAGAGATGGTTGGCCCGTAAATGTATGCCAACCCACCTAATTATTCTTTTTGAAAATCCTTCATTGGGTCTTTTCTGTTAAATAGTTCAAAAAAAAAAAAAAAAATCCCACCTCTCCCTTGCCCCTGGAAACAGCAGCGTCCTTGTTCTGCTGAGCTCACTGCTGGCCATACTGATCAGTGCCATTTCCTTTGTCTTCGTTTATTTTAGAATTAAGCTATAAGCTGTTTAAGACTGGGCTATTTTTGTTCTGTACTTGTGCAGGGTCTGTTACATGAGGATCCCAAATGCTAAAGTAACTGCTCTTCCTAAAGGCAGAAGCACTGTGCACGTCAGGAGCAGGATGGGCATTGCTCTGAAAGCGAAGTGCTGTGTTTTTGCTCCGATAAAATGTTTTGGCAAGCCCATCCCTGGTCAGAGGAATGCCTAGGTCAGGGCCAGAACCATGGCCATCTTCCGCCCCCGAGCTGGATTGGCTTTTGTCAGCCAGATGCCTTCTGATCTCCACCTTCTCCCTCCGTCCCTCTTCTGACAGTAGCCATGTGCTCAGCAGGGGCTCTGCAGCCCTGTTTGCTTTAGCTGGGGAGATGTTTGCCTTTCCTGCAGAACTCCAACTGCCGGGGAAACCTGGGGCGGCTGTGTTGATTTATTAGGGCACAGTGTGCCTCAGGAATGCCTCTGCTAAGGAGCTGGGAGTGATGGAAGGGATCCTGCCCGGAGCGGCGTGAAGCCTTCTCGTTTCTCTTTACACAGACTCGAAGCAGGAATTCCCCAAAGCAAGGTAAGAAAAATGGCTCGCTCAGCTGACGGCTTCAGGGAGCTCCTGTTAGGCTGCCCTGGTGCAGAGTCAGGAAGGTGGATGATAGCTGGAATTTTAGGAGTGCAATTTTAAGTGATTTTTTTTTTGGTGGGAGATGACACCGAATTGCCCGAGCGGAGGGTTTGTGTGCTTTTGGTTTGTGTTAAGAGCTGGCATTCCGGAGTTACTGACTAGGGCTTTTTTCTGGGACTTGGCTGTGGGCCATCTGAATGTTTTGCACTTGAAAGAAGAAAGTTTCAACCTCTTTGGGTTCGCAGACTTCTAAACGTTTTCTATTAGAGATATGGCAATGGATTTGCTTTTTTTTAATTACCTTTACAGACAACCGAAGTCTGCAAGCCACAAGTTTAAAAACCACTGAGGCAAGTGCATATTCTGTAGCGAGTTTGTTGGAATACCCTTTCCTCTCCGTAATTTGTCCCACAAATTTGTCCCATTTGTCCTGCATGCACCCCATATTTTCCTTTCTTGTCTGGCATATGCACTGTATGTGTCTGAACTTCTTTCTTCTGTGATTTTTGGTGGCTGCTACCCCAGCTGATCTGAAAGCAAGACTGCGGAAACTGTTGGGTGTTTGCACAGGGCAGCGTGGGCAGCCGGTCGCTTTGTGTCGATCCAGTATTTGGTAGTTGCAGAGTAGGCTGTGTTTATGGGGCATCAGCGCTGGGAAGGAATTTCCTTTCCTAGCTGAGGTAGAAAGAGCGTCCATGTCCAGCTTTCTTCCTTTGCTTTAGCATTCCTTGAGGTTGTTTCCTATTTTACAAATGCATCTTTTGAGAACTGCCAGGAAAATGTCTCTCTTAAATGGAAATGGAAATTTCTGAGCTCACAGGGATGAAAACCTTTGGGTCTGTGCTCACTGAGTGAAAAGAGGATTACCAACCAGCCATTCTTCAGCGTGCAAAGCGGTGGAGCAAAGTCTGCAGAGACTCTCCGAAAGTTATTGGCTTTCCTCAGGAAGGGAGCTTGTGAATAGAATTAAATGAGCTCGGTCCCATCCTTCTCGGCTTCCCTGCTGCAAGTGGAGAGAGCAGTGTAAGTTTTAATTCAGTAGATGCTTGAATAAAATGGGAAACTTTTTGAAGTAGGTGTCATGGAAACAGGTCTAGAGCCAGAATTCCTGTGTTCCCGGAGATAAGAGAACTAATGGTTTTGTGGCTGCATTTCGGCCTGACAGAGAGCAGGGTGAGGAGAGGCAACACTGCTTTTTCCAGAACTATTTGAAGAGTCCCGAAATGAGGATGGTTTGCTGGAGCAGATGCAGATGGCACCTTTTCACTGGGGACTGAAAAACCTGCCAAGGTGTAAACTGCATCTTAATAGAAAGATGTGAGAGGAGGCCTGTACTTCTCTCCTTCCTAATTACTGCAGCTCAGCTGCTGCTGTCTCTTACGTTTACACATCTGAAAGGTGACAATGACAATGTCTTGAATGGCAAAGCAATAGTACGGAGGCTCCCTGCCTTTAAAAAAAAAAAAAAATGTATTCTGGAACAAAGAAGTTATTCAACCAATAGCCAAGATTATCCTCATGAAAAATCTTCCTGGAAACTGCTCTTCATGAAAGCAGTGCAATTTTTGTAGGTGTTGGTGGCTTGTCTCCTGAGTGACTACAGGTAAAGCAGCAGCCAGCTTCACCCTTTCACCCACCGATGGCACAGGGAATGTCCACCCCAGCAGTGGGACTTCCATTTCTGCTCTTGCTGCACCTCTGTGCTGGGTTGTCCTGGTACCTGCTACCTCTTCAAGAAGCTGGAAGACTCCGCTCCCTGGTGTTGTAGCAGAAATCTCTGCTAACGTTTTTCACAGCTGTTCCTTTCAGTGCCAAGGCCAGAAACCAGACTCTCAGATGCTCATCGATCATGGCACTTAAAATGGGACAAGGTGGTTAGTTTGGGTAAGAGCTCCTCTTAGAGAAACAGGGATTTAAGGGGGTGATGATAGTGCTGTAGCTGTGATCACATTGCAACAGTGAAGAAAGAGGCAGCAGCAGCTCCCAGTCAGGTTGTGGAGGGCAGTTTGGGACTCGGTGTTTCTTGCTGAAATGTCTCCTAGCTCGTGGTCTCTGGTGGCAGTTTTGCTGGTTAGCTATTAACTTGTTCAATCTCCCCTCGCGCATGGCCCTACCCTGTTCCACTGTGTTCCAGTAAAGCTGGTTTAAGAAACAGCTTTGTTAAAGTTTCTCTTCCTGCCTCTCCTCTCGTCCTGTCAATCTCAGGAGAACATGCTGGCACTGGTGCCTTTGCAGGATCATTTTTAGGGCCCTTTTGGCTCTGACCCTTTCCCTTCGAGCAGCCCTTGGGGAGCCCCATCCTGGGGCGGGACAGGCTCTGGTGGGATTGCTGTCTGCTGGGAAAACAGCAGGGGAAAGGCAAAACAGCGCTGAAAACCCTGCTTTTTTTAGCTGAGAGAATGTCCTTCTTCAAACACAGCTCTTCCTGCTCGTGCCTGTACATAGCCCCTTCCTGCTCACCAGCAGTGTTTTCTCTCGCTGCCTCGGGGCGGCATTCAGGTTAGTGCAGATCGGAAGGAGCGACTTTATTAAGAGATTCCTCTGCAGTGGTATTTACCCAGTTTCTGCAGAGGACTCTTTTTTTTCAGTACTCGGCTACCTGCTTCTGTTTGCCCTTGTGAGATGTTTGTTAGAGCGTGCTGCTTGCAACTGTACTGGAGCCTACAGCTCTTCCGTTCCCCCTCGCAATTGCCAGCTCCCTAACCAGCCTTTTCACAAACAGGGAATAAAAGTTGAAGCGAGGGGATGCCTGCCCGTTTGTATCAGCCTGGGAAATGGTAGATTTTTCTCTTGAGGCCTTTGCCTCAGGCATCTTGCCAGAAGGCATCTAGACTCTATTCACTTCCAACATATGCAGTCCCCAAGCCAGAAATGTGCAGAAAGCTCGTGAACTGATCAGCTGAAGGCCAGACAGTGTGACCTGGTGCCTCTGAAAGTCAATGAATTGCAGAGCTGTGACTTCTGGATGCTTGGGAAGTGCGTGCAGGCTGTGGCACCCGCTGCATGGTGTGAACCTCGAGAACCTCAGGAAGATCAACTCAGAGATGGACCTAATCTGTACTTACTGTTGGAAATTATCCCAAAATCTGAGTCGGAAGAATTAGAATGTACCTAAATGTTTTGGCTAACACAAAGAAGTAATTACTTTCTTTGCAGACCTTGTGTATGGGTTTCTTTTCTTCAGACCGCGAGGAATTCAAAGCAAACTTTAGTTTGGAGCTAAAAGGCGTGTTTTTAGCGAAGGCGCTGCGAGCAGCATTGGGATGGGCTCCCAAAAGAACAGAGATGGGTACGGCTCGGGTTCTTGTGCCTGCGTGCATAGCAGGCAGTCCCGTACCAGCCCTGGTTCAGTCTTCTACAAGTGACCTCTGTCCCTGGCCGGGAACATAAAGAGCCTCAGTGAGCTTTGGCTGAACTGGGCTTTTGCCTGTCTGCTGCGGGGAGAGAGTAACCTCAGTGTTCCTGCCTCCCTCCCGCTGGCTGCTCGCTTGATTTAGCTGCCAGAAAAAGACATCTGAAAAGTATACATTGCTCTCCTGTGTCCTAACTTCTGTAAAGTACGGGTTATGGTTGGTTCCCGTGTACGGTGCTCAGTAATTTTACAGAAGAGCAAACGGCACCGCTACAGCTATCTACACAACGCTCGGTACAGTGAGGTCTTAGTTTGTGCCAGGACTCCTGAGTGCTATTCTGGGCGTTATTAAGGGGATTATATTACATAGAGAGCTCAGATGGCTCTGAGCCGCGCTCAGGGTGTTAACTGTTTCTATTAAGCTTTGCATTTAGAGATCCTTGTGGCAGAGGAGGGCGATGCTGGACGTGTAGGCGTTCCTGCAGCTCAATAGTTTATGTGTCTGTATGGCCAGGGAGGGTTTTCATTTGCTTTGCACGAGGGGTAACCAGACTTACAGAACTTGCTAACTTCTGGATGCTCCGTGTGTTAATCTTCTCAGTGTGCTGGCTGTGCAGCTGCAGGTGGAAGAGATGCTTTCTGGTGCAGATGTGTAAGGTGCAACAGAATCCTTACAACATGCCGTAAATGTCTCATAAGGGATAAAGCAAGCCATATGTAGCATGTTAGCTGGCAGAGGCTGTGCCTGCTGTGCACTGAGTACCCATCTCTGTGGGAAACAAATGGGTGGGGGGAAGTATCCCCTGTGCCACGCAGTAGTTCATACTCTATCTGATGGTCCAAGGGGCTGAGTTTGTGAACATCCCTTCCTTAGAAAGCCAGCGGCTGATGTCTTTACCTTGCAGAGGCTTCGCTCTCCAAAGACGTGCCCCTAGCACAAGGCAGGCACACGATGGCCTTGGTGCTCCTCTGCCATCCCAGCTGCTTTCTTGTCTGGGACTGCTGACCCTGGGATCTGGGTGTGTTTCCTGCTGGTGCTGTGTGTTAGAATACATGGGGAAAACCACGCTGGTGGAACCCACCGAAATAAACAAGGTTGGGTGTCGGTGGTGGTCGGAGCAGCTTGGATCAGACATGGTTATTGGGTTAGATATGGTAGTGACAGGGAGAAGGGGGCTCAGAAGGGACTGAAGTGGGAATCAGTACCCAAAATGAATATTGCATGAGTGGTGCATGGATGGATAAATACTGTCCTTCAAATCAGATCCTGTTCCTGAGCCTTTCTCTGGGATTTCCCTGTCATTCAGACCAGTGTCCAGCACCAGACCAGGCGCAGCAGTGCTGCGGGCGAGCTCCCACCCAGCTGCTGGGCAGAGCCGCGCTCACGCTGGGCTCTTACTGGGAGCCACTGGGCACCGTGGCTGTGGCCATGGGACCCCCTGGCAGGAAGGATGGCTTCCGTGAAAGACAGCAGCAGGCCCAGGGTCCGCGGGCAGGATGCGGCTCCCCGGGGAGCAGGGCCGGGCCATGATTCACCACAGCTGGCTGCGGCTCGGCCTCCTCCGCTCCCCCTGCCCCGGGTGCCAGGGAGTGACAGCTCGCGGGCAGGCGGCCAAGCTGTGAAAGGAGGAGTGTGTGAGGCCTTCAGCTTTCTCATGCTTTATCAGGCTGCAAAGAATAGCTCGATATTCAGCCGGCGTTGGTGCGGGTCAGGAGAATGGAAATGCGAACTTAACTCCTGACACGCCGGGGGACGGCTGAGGCCCTGGCCTGACCAGAGGAGCGAGGGCTGCTCCCCAGGGCTTCTGTGTGGCGTGAAAGGACACAAACGCGTTACAAGCTGTGCCTTGGCTCTCCTCACACCCCAGCTTGCCCAGACCCCAGGGGCTGGCATTGAAGGGGACGTGGCGGCTGGGGGAGCGGGATGGGGACAGTCCTGGGGATGATGGAGCCAGCAACGAGGCAGCCACCGGCTCTGTGGAGCGCTGCCCGCCAGCGCGGAGGGAGTTAAGCGCTGCCGGCGGCTGGGGGTGAGCCCACCTCGGGGTGCCGAGCTCCAGCTCCATTCCCACGGCCAGGACGGGGCCGGCAGGGGGGGACCCTGCCAGTGGCGGAGGCTGGGAGGCAGCACCCGGCCCCTCCAGCTCCATGCTGCGCCGGGGAGCGAGCGGGGCTGCAGGGCAGGGCTGGCGCTGTCGCCGTTCGGCTGCTGTCCCCTGGGTGAGATGGTGGATTTATTGCCCCCCTTCAGGCAGACGGAGGGGGCTTGCAGGCAGCCAGGTCCCTGCCTAGGCAACGGAAATAAATTATTCCTCAGCTGGGTGTGAGGTTGCAATCGAGTCCCAGCAGTGTTGTTTCCTACAGGGCGTGCAAGTTTCTCAGAGGCGTGTGGTAGCAGGGCCCTTCATCCCTGATCCTCACCCTGCCTTTTGTCACATCATTTTGAGCTCTTTGAAGCCCTGAGGAGCAAAAAAGGCTGGGAAGAGCTTGAGGGGTCAGGGAAAGGAGCTAATGTGAGTGGGAGTGCATACTGCAGCTCCCTCGCTCCCCAGTCCCCGTTCAGTGGTGCTGGGGGAGCAGGAAGGCGCTGACACAGAGCTGGGCACGGCTGTGTGTGTGGTGCCCCCAACCAGCACCAGTTCCACCACAGGGGCAGGAGCGGCTCAGAGCACTCATTCAGCCCCTGGCAATGCTCCAGAGTCCTCCCCAAGGACGAAGGGTGCAGTCCCTGTTCTCACCAGCCCCTGAGCCCCAGGCCAGGCACGTCAGTGTGAGCAAGTGGGGCTCAGCAGCAGCGTGAAGGAAAGATGAGCTGTGGGCTCAGAGCTGAGTTCTGCTGGGCGCTGATGCCATATAGTGTGGCAGATGTGCTGCTGGAGGATGGGTTTTTGTCTGTACATCAGCTGCCTGGCTCAGCTCCCACCCCGGATCCTCTTTGCAGAAGCTGCGGTCCTTGGGCGAGCAGTGCTGGCCCTATATTTGGAGGGCAGAGGCTCTGAGGAGCAACGTTATCTGTGTGGGGCAAAGGCTTTGGGATTCAGCACCTAGGTACAAACATGAGCAATGAGAAGCGTCCGCGCAGATATTCTGCAAACACCCAAGCGCAGAGAGATTCCTCCTGCTGGATCTTACTGATTGTTGACACCGGAATCCTAATAAACCCTGGTAGGCAGCAGCCCTTGTTCAGCTGCCCACACCCAGGCACGTAGCAGCGGCTGCGCTCTGCGCTGCAGCTCCGTGCTCTGTCCTTTGCTCCCCCCGCAGCGGGAGATGTGGGATCCCCGTGCGAGGCAGCCCTGGGGGGAAGCACAAAGAGAAGCTCTTGGCGGTAGCTTGGGACCCAGGTGCAGCGAACGCACCAGCGAGCGCTGGCTTTGGGGACGGAGGGGTGTGTTCCCATTGTGCGCGTTCCCATTGCTCCTGTCAAGCCTCCTCTCATTATTCCTGCCTTGAGCTGTCTCGGCCCGAAGGCAAAGCGTACAGAAGGCTCTGTAGGCTTGCCCTTGAGAGACGTGCGGTCCTTGGAGAATGGCTGTTGAAGGGAAGCACGGCAGTGGGCTGAATTGAGGCTGTTTCAGGCTGCACAGCTCTGAGCTAATCTCCCAGAGGCAGAGACATTACTCACCAATCAGGAATGTGTCTGTATTTTTCCTAATGAGAACAAAACATTTTATCCCTGTTCATTAGCAGAGAGTTAGGGTGTACTGTTGCTATGCCAACAGACTCCTCTCCCCTGCAGACACACTGGGGGTGTCCTCCGAGCCATGGTTAGAAGGGTGAACGGGAAGGCTCGTTCTGGCAAGAAAAAGATCCCATTGTTTTCCCCGGGGCTGCCTGGACTTTGTGCAGCTGGCCAGACCTTGCCTTCTTGGGGGGGAGGGAGCCGCAGCGGGAGTCAAGTGCAACAGAGATTTAATTTATTGGAAAAATAGTCTTTGCATTTCACGTTGTGTTGTGTTTTTTTTCCAGCTTGAGGCACACTCCTCAGGAAGAGAAATGAAGGTGTCTCAGCGTTCCCAAGATCCCAGATGGTAAGCAAAATGCGCCGGGAGTCAGCACTGGGACACCCACAGACTGCTTCAGCCTGCTGGGCCCCTCCGTGTTCCTGATCATCTGTTTGTGCCGCCAGCGTAATGCCCGGCAGCCTCTCGGTGCTGCTGCGGGATGAATCCACCTGATGAATGGTACCGCCTGTGATTAGTGGACAAGGGGGTTCACCAGGCACGTGGGCTGCTGGAAAGAGTGAGTGGTGCTATGGGAGAATACACATTTGTTCCCTTTAGGTAGGGAGCTCCTGTGAAGGACAAAAGTTGTCTGTTGAGCAGAAATGGTGATGTGTCCAGTTCTGCCCTCAGCAGACGTATTTCCTCCAAAGGTTGCCTGTCCATTTTCTTGTCTTTGTCTTGGCTCTGCCTCCCTCCCCTGCCATCCCCCACCCCTTTCCTGAGGGATTATCAGGATGTGCGAACTGCAGCGGTGCTGCACCTCTGGTGCTGTCACTGCAACGTAAAACAACACCTACAATTAAATTTTTCTATGCAAGCTAATGAGTTTAACCTACAGACAGAAACAAACAAATATTCTACTTTCTGATAGTGATCTATGGCCAGAAACGAGCGAGTGAGTGTGACCAAACCTGCAGACAGCCTCCCAGAGCAGGGTGATGTTCATATCTGGCTGTCAGTCACCATACAGTGTCGTGAGCTGCTTTGTGCTGGCTGAGCGCGGTGGTGTTGACAGCTGTAGACCCTTGAAGAAATGTCTCCCTGAAACTGAGTTCTCCTGTCAGACTGCAGCCTGTTAAACAGGATAGCTGCAACTCCTACTTCAGTTCGCCTGGCAAAGCGCTCTGTGAGTAAATGTGTGGAATTTGAATACAGGAATTTGAATATCAAATGTAGGGTGGTACAGCAGAGATCCCAGACTGCATGAGCTGCAGGAGATCTGCAGATCTACATGGACTTGTTGGAGAGTGAAACCCTGGCACCTGGACACTTGGTGCTGCCTCAGATGAGTCACTGATTATTGCGCTAGAGAGATGGATATCACTTGAGAGCACAGGGAGTACAGGAGCCCTTCATCAGAAAGTAGTCTGCTTGTTAGACCTGCAGCTGTAGTAGCAGGAGGGTTCAACAAGAATAAAAGCAATGAACAAAGCCAGACAGCAACCCCTAACCTGGGCTTCTGTGTGTGAGCAGCCTGTTTGGTTTCAGTTTGGTAGTAGAGCTAGATTAAAATCTTGAATGTTAAAGAGCAAGCTTTGGGAAAATCTGTTTTGATCTGTAGCCTCCATGAATAAATCCCGAGTACGTACAACACGTGTACAGAGATCGGTGAGTCTGGTTCCCTCAGCTTTTCGTTGGCTCTGGGTGGTTCAAGTAAAACCACTAAATCAAAGCTGTTTGAAATAGGGAAGGAGTAAGTACTTGAGATGATTTGAATTCAGGCCAGTCTCTTCTGGGTCCACGCTTTCAGGATATGTAAAAAATAAAAGACCATGGGGAGGACAGAGGTCTGTGTACTGTGCACTACATGTGTGTTGTATTCCTTGAGATATCCAGCTGATTCTGTGCAGATCCTATTGAAACAGTGCCCCAGCAGAACTGCACTGGAGGAAATGGTTTTTAGTCCATTTAAGTGCAAAAGATCATGGCTGAACAAACTGACTTCTGAAATGTGAGTTACGGTTATTATCCAAGTCGCGCTCTGCTTCATTCTTGTGCAGTGGGAGTAGTGATTCTGTGTTACCTAGGAGAGCGTTACTTGGGCCCTCCTCTTCTCTCCCCTCCTTTTCAAACAGCGTAAGGGGGGATTTTCTGCCCTATTTTCTGTCTCACCTCTTTTTTTCCTTACGTTAAGAACAAACATACAATTTCTGTGCCGTGTACAAAGCAAAAATCAGGAGAAACCGTCTGGTTTCGAGGGCAGGGGGCGTGTTTTTCCACATGAAACTGCTGCTATATTTTGTCTGTAGAAGCTTTTCTTATTGCTTTTTATGCTTGGCAAGCAGTTCTGTGTGGTGTGCTCTCTGCAGAGCACTCAGATTGGTGAGATTTGGGGTATTTCTGGGCCATGTACTTCCTTCATCTCTGTAACGCCTCTGCATAACTACCCCAAACTCCTGCTTCAGTTCAAAATGTGACGTTTCAATGAAAGACAAGTCCAAAGAGTTTTCTGGTCTTGCATCTTGTTGTTTTGCTGTTCTGTTTCCAGGATGTCTCCTGTTTCATGCTGAGCTGCCCTTTACTAGCTATTTATGCTCTATTTGTTTAATTATTTAACCTTATAACAACTAGATTTTTGTTTTGGTAGTATCTGAGCTCATTGGAAAATTAATGCAGACCTATATATATATATATCCATAGTGGGATGAAGGACAAAATTCCAAATATGTTTCTACATTTTGCCTCTTAAAGTACCACAGGTAATACCTGTAGTCAGTTGAATGCCTATGTGAAAATAAACCATTTTATTTTGTTCCAGATATATTTTTAGTGTAATTTCCAGAGCTAGCATGGCTTGATGTCACAGAGTTGTGGGCAGTCCTCCTGCACTGTTTTCTAGAAGCTCAGCTTCCAGGAAGAGCTAGTGCCTTGTCTATCTGATGTACTGGAAGAGATGGGAAGAGCTGGGCTCAGCTGGGTTAGAGGAACTTTTGAGCCCTCTGTGCTGTTTGATATCCACCACCTTGAGAGGAGGCTTCTTCCCTTCTATCAGAACCAGTTATAGGTTATTTGTGGAGTGAGGTGAGGTGTTCCTTCCAACTCTTGGTAGAGAATGGTTTAAAGCCCTAAATTGTGAGGTAGACTGATTTAAAACAAAACAAAACAAACAAAAAAATGCTGTTAGCACTAAGTGTTGTAATGCTAAATCTGCTGTCTTTTGAATTGTTTGGTTTTAACGGCTTTGCTTATTTTTCTCTAATTCTAGTTATATTTCTAAAAAAAAAAAAAAAAAAGAAAAGAAATGCTTGTTTTTCCTCTTAATAGAGAAACTGGCAAAGGACAAAAAAGCCAGATATTTCAGCCTGACAGGAGAGTCTAGGTTGCCTAGCAAGCGAAGCATGCATGCATAGTGAATTCTTATTCACTATAATAATCAAGAATGTTGGAAGCAATTAGGAAGGATCACTGCGTTTGTGGAAAAAAAGTCACTGAGGATTTTGCAGGGGTCACAATAAGAACAATAATTCTAAAAATAAATATATGACTCTGTATAACAACAAGGTCCAGTAAGGATATCGTTATTTTATGTGGCATCAGGAAATCACTACATAATGTGTCTATAATTGAGGAAAAAGATTGAAATATTCATAAAGAACACATGACAGAATAGAGCTCTGGCATACAGCCTTTGTTGTAAGAGATATCCTTCATCGGGTAGGCTAAATCAAGCATAAGAATGTTATTTGTACTTTCAAAGTACTAATGGGGAGAGAATTTCTGAAAAACACCTCCTATTCTGGAGGAATAAAGTGTAATTGGATGCTAGGGCTTGAAAGTAATTTTGAGCAATTTTTATAGGGTGTATATTTTAACAGAACTGACTAACTAGCAATTCACTACAGGAGGTAGAGAGTCCCTGCAATATTTACTAATCATCCCACTAATTTCTCCAGCTCATATAGAATTTGTTTTCTGCAGCTTTGTGAAAATTATTGTGTTTTAAGAAGGGTATTTTCTGTTACTGGAAATGGAACAGCAGCAGCAATGAGCAAAGGTGAGGAGTATCTTCTATACAAAGAAAATGGAATAAACTGAGACTCTTCCACCTGAAAAGAGAGGAGAGATAGTTACCATCAAAATCCTAAATGACATGGAAAGGTTAGAGGGGCAGCAACTGTTTTTTTGTCTTTTCCATTCACATGGAAGAGTCATAAGTATGAATAGGTATTGAATGGGGCCAGCATGTTGTAAGCCTAAAAACAAGTAATGACTTAGTCCTTGATGTGTGCAGTTAACCTGGGAAGGTCCTTGCCACAGGATGTTGTGAATGGCTAACATCTGTGTGTATTTGAGGACACAGGGCAGTGCCACAGAAGAAGGAGCTATTGAAGGTTCCTAAATGCATAGAAACCACCTCTGTCCCGAGAAATCCCTGAGCTGCACATCGCTGAAGCCTGGGAGAGCGTTCAGGGAGGCAAAGTGCTGCTCTGTGCTTGCTTCCTTCTTACGGTTTCAGGCCATCACCAGTGCCAGAACAACTGCAAGCTGGTCTGTCGGAGCTGGGTGGGATGGAGGGAAATAAAAATAAACCTTGTAAAAACAGAGACTGGCACAGCTTGTGGCCCAAGTTTCTTCTGTGCCGCTTGCGATGTGCTGTACGCACCTCAGACTTGCTAAAAGCATCGCCTGTGGGCTGTTCAAGCCTGCAGACTGTTGACTTGAGCTTCAAGAGAGGTGGAGAGTATATTTTGGGGAGCTGTGCAGATGGGAAGGGTGGTGTGAAGACGCATATTCTAAGCAGGGAAGCTGACATTTTCCTTTCCTCGTGGCATATGCTGGTCCTTGCTGTTCTGGGATGTTAAATGTTTTACTGAGTTACAGGGATCGTTACTGCTGAGAGCCTATATCTTATTTCTGTGGATATCCCCCTGTAAGGAGTGTTAAAGTCCTTTCCTAGCAGTGGACTGTAACTTAATTTGAGCTAAAATGGGTGATATGCAGATCTATAAACAATACAATCTCTGTTCCAAATGCTTTCGAACTAAAAATGTCACGGTCTACGTGAGGTTCAGACTCTTTAGAAGTTTTCGAAGCACTGGTCGTATTTGAGGTCCTGTCTAAACATTTAAAAATAACTAGAAAACAGGGCTCAATTCTAGATGCTTCTCCCTTGCAAGGCAGGTCTTACGCTTGGTTTTAGACACTTACCCAAATCTGCAGAGAGCACAGTACAGGATGGCAGCCCTAGCTGTTCCTTTGAACTTTTCTCTTTGGGAAGGATGAGAGCCATGTTGGGCTGTCTGTCCTTTTGTCCATAGGGATGTGGTTTCTATTGCTGCTGAATATTGCTATTTTTTTTTTTCTGTAGTGCACTGCAGCTGTGAGGAGTGAAGGGATGCCTGGGCTGAGACCCGAAGCCAGGTGGAGTACACACAGGGTTTAGGACAAGGGTTGTGTTGGGAAAGAGTGGGACTAGGCAGTGTGGGCTTAAATTTGGAATAAAACCCAACATCTGTCATCACAGCTGCTTTGTCTAGTTCTTCTCCACTAATCTGAATCTAATGGCAGTTCGTTACTTCTGGCTTGGACTCCTGTAGCTCTGGTGACAGATCTGCACTGACTACAAAGACTTCAGGTCCGTGATGAACTTGATGGATATGGCTTTTCATGCAGATCTGGGAAGCTGTTTCACGTTTCCCAGTAACTGAAAATTTGATGTGTGTTTATAAATCAAATGTTGCTATATAAGTATACCTACACTCTTTCCATTATGTGTGTTTATTCTTCAGGTTTTTCACAGTAGTCTTGCCTCAGTTGTGAAATACAGAGCAGTGTTATTGCTAGATCATGGTTGTATGCTGAAGGTGCAGGGCGACTGCTTTGTCTCTGATAGAATAACAGTGATATTTGGGCATTAAGATGGGCTTGTAGCCAGAGAAAGGCTTTTCCCAGCATTGTGGCAATTGAGCACTGTCAGTGTCTTGAATTCTGTCCCTCCTCCACAGGGTTCCTGATGGGTGCTGAGCAGGTTGTGTCTCAACCTGTGCCTCAACTCTTCACCTATAAAGTGGGCATAAAAACACTTTCTTCCCCACCGGCAGATGAAATGCATTAATGATCGAGTTCCACTGTGCTTAGGGCTGCAGGAAGGTACGTTGCTCTGTGTGGCTTGGCTGCCCCGTTGTCAGCAGGGCTGGAAGCGGTGCTGTGACAGCTCCAAAGCAGGAGGTATCGAGGTTGGTGGTTCAGTGGTAGCTGTTCCTCCTGTGCACTGAAGGAGATGCTCCTGGAGGAATGCTGTAGGATAGTTGAATGGCACAAAGCTGTGTGAAGA